TTATATCCATATTTTATGATCTCAATTTTCAGGTCTAATAACAATAAATAATTTAATATTGTTCAATTGATTGTAAACCCCAAAAAAAAAAAATTATAAACCAAATAATCGTAAGTTTGAAGTTTAAAAATTGTAACAACAAAAAATATTGGTAAATCACATAGATCATCCAATGTCTAAGACACTAGTGTTATCTAACACATTAACCTAAGGAATCTCACAATTAATCTCCAAATATTAGCCAGATGCAATTAGACTCGTTGCATTAGTTAACAAAGCCTATACAATATTGCTTTTATTATTAATGATCTTATAATGACACAAACCATGTATTAACCACGGTTGGTATAAGGCAATAAAGAGTATTAGTGGTGTGGATTCATGTTGAGGAGTGAGAAAGAGAGATGCACCTATGAGATATTAAGGATTTAATAATTAAATTAAATTAAATTAAGGATTTAATTTAAAATTCAAAAGTAGTGGTTAAACGAAAGATAAGAGATTTGGTTAAGGGTACTTTAGTATTTCCAAAGTTATATTTTAATATTTGATCCTCCTAAATAATTACACTTTTAAAGATACTTCCTAATAAATATCACTTTTTGCACGTCCTTCTTCCTAATTTTTCTTTTTAGTTAAACAATTTATATCTAACTTTTCATATGATAAATGGGAGGAAAACTACAATAATTATATAAATGTAATCTTCAATATATTTATTTTCTCAACTCTGATTTTAAAATCGAGTCTTTTAATTCTCTTACCGTTCTCTTTCTTCCATCCTCTCTCTCATCACTTTTTTCTTTTTGCTTCATGGTATATATTCTTTTTTTTTCTTATCTCTTTTTTGTGAACAAATTTTTTTTTTAGATTTTAGTTTTTCATATTCACTTTTGACCAAACTACCATTTACAGTTATATGACTTTTTTTTTTAAATTATCTAATGTCTCTCCTCTACCTATAGTAAATTGTTTCTCATATAAAATGAAAATAAAAAATAATATATGGTGTGTAAAAATAGTACAAGGCAAGAGATTAAAAGTTCATGAAGCAAAAAATAAAAAAAAATGTTTGACATCTATTTTTATTAAGTAAAAAAAGTATTATTTCTAAATAGTGAGATTAAAAATTATTGGTATCAGAATAAAAGTTACAGCTTTCTTTTGCTTCTCTTTTCTTCATTCGTTCTTGTCTTTTTTCTCTTTAAGCTTCTCAATATTCTTTTTTTTTTCCTTTCTATCTCTTTCTTTGTGAACATAAATTTTTGGTTAGTTTTAGTTTTCTTTATTTTCTTTAAGTCAAATTATTATTCATAAATTTAAATTATAAACTTCACTCTGATACCATCAAATGTTGTAGCAACTATCTAATACAAAAGTAATTATATTATGAAAAAATGACTAAGCTCTCATGAAACATAAAATACTGTAAAATGGTTTCATGAAACTTATTAATCTGCAGTTTCAAATAAGACTGTGCAATGGCGTATTGAGCAGCCGAGATAAGTTTAAATGGGTATGGGTTAGCCCATACCCATACAAAACCTATTTAAACCTGTTATAAACAGGCTACTCTTAAATGGGTGAGTTCACACTGGTTCTGGACTAACCCGTTTAAGTGATACCCTGTTTTTTTCCTACCGGACAATATTAATTATTAAAATATATAATATAAAAATAATATTAATTTAATTCTAAATGTAAAACCTAATTTGTAATGTAATTTATACTACAAAATTGGTCTTACATTTAGAATTGGAAAAGTAATAGCTAAGATGTAGGGTAACTCCTTATACGTATAACTATAAGCTTAAGTTTTGGGAATTTTAGGATTTCAATTAGTTTTAAAAAAAAACAATTTCTCCTACCTTTTTGCTGTCAATGATATGGAATAGGAAGGGGAATTAAACCAAGTAATATCAAAAGCACATTGAAATGAATGCCCACCATGTACATGTATCTTCTTAGTATGATACCCTTTTGCTTGAAACTATATTTTTCTCAATAAAGAATTTGGTTAATGTGAAAAATAAGTTGTGTTTTGGACTAAATTTATGAATCAAGTATGAATCGTTTATTATCTTTCTCTGTTTTTCTTTTTGGTTATTTGTACTGCTTACATTCTACTCTTAGCCTTTTCGTTATCTTTTGTTCTATTGCGGGAACTATAGCAACTATTTGAATATAATAAAACAAATGCATAGCTGATATGAATGATATTAGAAGGAAAATAAAGTCAAAAACATGTATAATATTAATCTAAACTTCTTGTCAATTGATTAATCACGTCATGATTTAGATTAAGATAAAGATAGTCTAGATGAAAGCCATTATTGACATTTTTTTTGTTTGTTTTCTCCATTACTAACTTCCAATGGACATTAAATCTATGATAATGTGATCAGTATATAATATAAAGCAATAAATAGGCAGGCACAAGCAGCCGATGCCTTTGCCTGCTACCCACCCATATAATACCCCAGCCCAACCCATTTAAATCCACCTGTTTTGGGCTCTTCATGGGCGCGTTTAAATGGGTAGGAAATGGTGAGTAATGGGCGAGTTATGTGGGTAGCGGGTGGCTTACTCACCCCTAGTTTTAAAGAGACCAGATTGCAATAAGAGAAAATGTGAGAAGATTATATTGTCTTTTGTAAGTTAGGGGGAAAAAAAGCAAGAGTTAGAACTTAATTTTCTGCACTTTCTTCTCTAAGCTCCTCTGTGTGCAACAAAATCTTGACAGCAAAGAAAAGAGAGTAGTTCTACATCTTCCCTGTCACCATTAGTAAAGCTAAAGCACCATCATCTTCATCGTTTTGGCCCTTTTTTTGCAATATTCTTATGTTTTTTGGGACTTAAGTATCATTTTCTCTATAAATTGCTTGGTTCACAAATTAAAATATAACATTAATTATATATATCTAGCCTAATAAATTATGCATTGCAATTGTCATCAATTACGAACTTCGTTCTCTGTCTCTTTTTATAAACTACAACTACCATCTCTCTCTTATCCCTAAATATAAGTAACATTAGCAAATTATCTTAAATTTTTGTAGCAAATTTTCTATTTTATCCTGATTAATTACTTATTTTAATATTCAATATATTTATTATCTTATTTCCTAAACTATCATCTCTCTCCATCACACATTTTCTCTCTTTTATAATTCTCTTTATTATAATATTTTTCTTGGTCTCTTTTTTATACTCTTTCCCCCATAAATAAAGGTATTTTGGAGAAAGAGCTTTCAATTTTTATCTATTTATTGTCTTTAACTAACTTTTTTATCTACGTAATGAAGTCTTATGTTGCTTATAAAAAGAGCCAGAGGGAGTAATTGATATAAGCTAGCTAACACTAGTACTTTTTGATACAATAACTCGCAGAAAGTCCCAAAACATTAATTAAATTGATTCGAATCCACTGTTTTATGCAGGTTTGACAAATATCATCTGTAAAAGAAAAAATTTAGCTTTTACTATAATAATCATTCTTCTAATTCTTTTGTCATTGTTTTAGTTTTGATTATTATAAAAAAAAAATATCCATATAAAATGTAAAAGCTCTAATAAGCGATGATACTTATAAATTCTAAAGAGACTTTATATAAAAAGCTTCATATCTAATTAAAGTATATTACGATTTACGAGAACTTTTTTTTTTACATTATAATATATATTATTTTGTGAATATACAAGATTTTTTCTAAAACAAAAGTTTAATTCTAAATATTTCAACTAAAACATTTTCACTTAATGACTTTCATTTGTCTTTCTATTCAGCTAAAAATTTTAAAAGATGTATCTATTATTTAATAAATTTTTTTTCAAATTTGATTTTTTATTAAAATCTTGATGGGGTAAGGAGCACTTAATATCTGAAAGGTTTTTTTTCCCTCTCATATACTCTGAAAGTTTTATTTTGTAACATTTCTATCTTGAACTGTTATCCATTGTTAATCTTAACCCTCATAGATACCGATCAAACCATATAAGTTAACGGTCAAACTTAACGGCAGATAATGGTCAAGGTATTTTTGGTATGAAAATAAACTTTCAGAGTATATAAGAGTCTAAAAAAAATTTCAGGTGCCAAGTAATCCTTCATATATACTTTCAGAGTATTTAATTACCTTATTTCAAATTTTGACCAAAATTCTAAGTACAATCCGCTCATAGAGCTTTACTGAATATGTCAGGGGTGTTACGACCAGTCACTATTGTCACTTCGATGGTGGTAAATAGTTATGATTAGTTATAACTAATTGTGAGTTTCATTATTGCGAGTGTCTAAGTCTTTGGTCTTATGTATATAAGATATAGTTTTTTTAACGAATTCTTTCCATTGTTTTTATTAATTATATATAATATCACTGCATTAGTCATCTCTTACATACTTACGCGCCTCTTTTTCCTATTTATATATTCTCTCATTCACAAATTTTTCTTGCATAAATAAAAATATTTTAAAAATAAAATACATTTCATATATTTATTGTCAAAACTAATTTTGATCAATGTTTTGATATACATAGTTCGATTATTTGTACTCGAGACTAAATGCCAGCAGAAGAGAAATCCTCGTGGCTGTTAACAGTTTCTATCTTTCACTCTATAGCTAATACTTGTATGATTGATTAATTAATTTTAGATTACACGGTTCAAAATTGTTACGCATGTATTCACCAGCGAATAACCATAAAAGCATATACACAAATTCATACGTATTTATATATAACATGAAAATTGAATAATGGAAAACCATTTGAAATCATCATTGTTGTTTATTGTATTAAAATCAATACAGCTCAATGGTGCAACAATACTAATAGTACCGATCAGAGACATCTAATAAATCTGTCTTATTCAATTATGTCTAAAGAGATTTTTTAATTGTAAAACAAATTACATATTTATTTTCTTATGCTCGAATGCTTGTATATTTTAGCTAACTTCTGCATCCCCTTCGTCGTCTTCTTCTTCATAAAGTTTGGAGCTTAATTAGAACTCAAAACAAACATCTTGGAAGCATGTGAATCCAGTTCAGCAGAAATCTGCCCCGAAACCGAAGCTTGTGTAGAATGCTGAATAATTCATATACAGCAAAATCAGAAAAGTTCTTTAATACAACTTGAGTCCTTGAATTGAAATAACAACAACAACAATAATAATAATAATTAACTTGAACTATGTGTGTGTGTGTGTGTGTATATGTAATTTCTCACCTCCCATAAATCTCTTGCATCTACAACTTTCTCTGATTCCAACCCTATGTCAGACCAATGGGCAGTTACAGTCGCTTTTGATGAACTTCTGTTCCATAGAACCACTGCTACTCTGTTATCACTAAGAGGACCCGCCCATACCTGTCAAATTTTTTTCTTTTTCAATGAGTAGTCTTCCAATCCAGAAAACTAACACCTGTGCTTCATAAATTAATTATATACATGCTTCTTCGGTCTTTAATGTAAGACTCAATTAACTAATTTGAGTAGATTAATAATATTAGTTAAATTAATTAATATGATTTTTTTTAAAGACACCTTAAGCATTTTTATTAATTTTCCTTCTTTTTCTCTTAATTATTGTTAAGAGAATACCAATAGGGTTAATTTGGAAAAAAAATTGATAAACTCGTAAAATAGTTCTTACATATAAAACTAATATTAACTCCTTAATTAGGTCATATATTAAGGATGGGAAGAGAGTGTGTGTATGGGATAAAGGTATGGGAAAGAAGATATTACCTCCAAACCATCTTCACTTTTCACCTTCTTCCCCTGAACTCCTAAGCTGTCTGCAATATCACAAGTTTTATGCATCAGAAGTTAGAGATTTCGGTATCTTGATGAAGAAAGGTACGTAGAGGGAAATGGTTGTTATATATGTCAGCGTGTGTGTATATGGGTCATGCCTTGGTTAACAGCAATAACTTCCTTGTTGGTTAGTAGTTCGTATGTTGTATTGTCCATTGCTCGAACATCACAACCAATCAACAAAGGGGCCTGCATATTTACATAGCACACTTTGCTTAATTAATTTAATTTCAACTATATATGTGTGTTAATGTTTAGTGTAAATATTTTGTGTTTGTTTTCTTATGGTGTATATGTACCTTAGCCAAAGCCCAAATGCTGTAATGAGAACGGTATTCTTCGGTGGTCATTCCTCCATTTCCAACTTCTAGCATGTCTGGATCTGTTTCCAATATTTTGAGGTGCATATAATGTAAACTCTTAATTACACATATTGCCTCTTAATTAACGAATTAGCTATAACAAAAAGTGATTAATTAACAAGTGAAGTTAGTTAATTACCATTCCATCCCCCAGGTCCAGCATAAGATGCCCATCTATCATTTGCATCTGCAATATTTGTCATGCTGGCAACAGAGTACTTCATATTATTAGCCATCCATCAATAGTAAAAAATTATTTCATTAATTCTAATCACACACACGCACACATAATCATTTCATAATGTTTGTTTCATACCTTTCCCATTTATCTTCAATATCTCCGGTTGTTCTCCAACTATTTCCTACATTTTTGGCCCAAAGTTCTGGGTCCTCTTGGCCCCTGCAAGTTCATAAACCAGCTTAATTATCATAGATAAATACATATTCTAACTCCTTAAACAGCAGGATACATACATGGCTCCATTGGAAATATGAAAGTCAGAAATCTAATTGATCTGTCAAAAGTATATGTAACCAATGTGAGAAAAAGGACTCACCATTCACACATGGAGAAGAAGATTGGCCTTCCAGAATTCAACAATGCTTCAGACATTTTAGGGTACCTGTATTTGTGCGTTTGTTCATACAATAAGTAATATCGCATCATAAATAATCTCTAATTTTTATATGGCAAGTAGAGAGACTTGAAGGCTAAAAATACCTCTCTTTTGGGTTTATATTGAGATTCTCGCAGTTATCGTACTTCAAGAAATCAACCCCCTGAGAAATATTTTTAAACATGCATGAGATCGATTGCTACAATTTTTTTAATAATGCTCTGAATGATTTTGAAGCATGTATGTATGATGTATCCATCTTATACCCAGGAAGCAAATGTTTTTGCATCTTGCTCTTCATGTCCCAGTGATCCAGGCATCTGCTTGCTGCACGTTTGATTTCTGCACAAAAATTATTCAAGAGATTATAAATTCCTTCATTAAATTAATTAATATTCGTATTGATTATGAACTTTAGGGTTCATATTTGGATACCCTGCATCAGAATAAACCCCAAGCTTCAATCCTTTGCTGTGGACGTAATCAGCAAGAGCCTTAATTCCTGATGGGAATTTTGATGCTTTTGGAACCATATTTCCCTGCCACAGTTTCAATTTTTAAAAAAATAAAGAAATGAATAAGGCAACTGATGGATATTTATTAGAATCACGAAAAGAAATAAAAACAAATTAAACAGCAGCGAAAAGAAAACAACTCATTATACACCTCAGAATCTCGATCAAGTTCAGCCCAGCAATCATCTAAAATCCAGGTAAAATAATGTGTAATTATTAAAAATTGAAAAATAATATATTTTTAAAAAAATGTATTTAGTGCAACTGAATTCATAGGTAAGCAAACTATATCTACTTACCCAAATTGATATATTGATACCCTAAGGCAGCAAGGCTCGTTGATACCATTGCATCAGCTGTATAATTCAAAGAAGAAAAACATATCAATAATTACGAGATTAATATCAAAGACTATAAATTATTTTAATCTCGACTAACATATATTTACATGAAGAATTTACCTGTTTCTCGAATCATCTCCTCGTTAATGTCACACTGAAAATGATTCCAACTATTCCATCTGATGACACCAATATAATGCGTTATATTATACACATAATCTTTGATTATTCAAACTAATTTCTAACATGAAATAGCCATGAGATCATTAAAAATGGTGCATGTACACAAATAATGAAAAGTGGGGTTACTAATTAATGAAGTGTAAAAAAATGAGTTAGACTATTCATTTCTCATAAATACATGCTTTACTAGAAGAGTTTAGATTATGAATAAATATTACGTGTATACAAACAATAAAAGAGGAGTTACTAAGTAACTTACCCCATGGGAGGAGTGAGACCAAGTCCATTTTCAACAAGCTGTCTTCTGAGCTTGTGGTGTTGTGGGGATAAGTCTCTGTTAGTGTTCAGCAAATTACGAGCAGCAGCAGAAGAAGAAGCATTCAATATCAGAAACATGAAGCACAAGGCAAGCCCTGTGAGAATCCTCCTTGCAGAAACTTGAAGAAGTGCCATTTTGTGTACAAGAGATCGACTCAAACACCTCAAGGTAATGATGAAGTACTTCAAGAAGAAGAATTCACACAAAAGATTGAGAGTGATCGATGAAGGAAGGAAAAGGATGTGAGGGATATTTATAAACAAGTTTTTGAATGAGAAGGTCGTATGGTTTTTTGTGTTTTCCAAAAGGATGGGCCATTTAGTTAGACAGTTGGTATGGCCCTACCTATGCCTATCCTCAACACATATACCAATGCAAGTTCTCTTTTACAACTTGTTGCTTTTACAATTATACATTAAAAAAACAGTCAAATCAGTTATATTTGTTAGCCTATTTTAGTTGGAAACTCATCAATATAAAACAACAAAATTGCAATGAACTGGTGTCATCACTTGTGGTTTGAACGTGTAGAACTGCAAACTATAAACATATATCTCCAGAAAAATTATTGCCTATTAAAGTGGCAATTATGATAGAATATTTCGAGTATGTTTAATAATTCTTATTGTTATAATTATATAAGTAAATTATATTATTATTTATTGATATCTTGACATATATTTTTTCCCTTAACCCTCTGTTTGGATGGGAAGAAAAGCTGGGAGGAAAAAAAATAAAAGGAGAGAAAATGAAGAGAAGAGAAAATTAGAGAGAAAATATTATCACTTCTCATGTTTGGATGGACAAGAGACAACAAAAGAAAGAAAATGAGTAATATACGAATGACTAAAATACCCTTTCTGTTATATCAAAATATATATTGATTAAAATCAAATTAAATATGATAATGAAAAACCATATTTACATTAACATAATCATATAATTTAAAATCAAATTATTTGATAAAGATATATTATCATGTTATTATATTGTAATATCAAATAATTTTGTAAAAAAAGAAAAAAAAAACATTTTGTGTAATGTAATGCTAAAAAAGCTAAAACAACAACTCTACTTGTTTTTCCTTTCAATTCATTTTAGAAGGATTTTTGCAATTTTAGTTATTTTATTTTTCAATCAAGCAAACACAGAAAAAAAGACTTGATAATAATAAATAAAGTGAAAAAATGAAAAAAAAAAGTATTATTTTGCTGAAAAAATATATGTAAGGGTAGAGAGGAAAAATGTGTTTTCTTTTCATTTTCTCTTAGTATATGGAGAGAAAAGTTGGGAAGAAAATAGGTTGTGGGACCCACCTCATTTTCTCCCTAACTTTTCTTTCCTCCCACTTTTCTTCCCTCATCCAAACAGGGAAAAAACCACTTATCTCCCTATTTTCCTTTCTAGTTTTCCTTCCTCCCTCATTTTCTCTCCATCCAAACATAGCATAAATTTAATTTGTTTAAGATAATCTAGATCTGTGTAAAACTAACCCAAAAGTGCTTTTGAAAAATATTTTTCCGCAAATCAAGGCAAACTCTTCACATATTTATTTTGTATACTGTAAAGCACTTTTAAAATCATGGTTTTACTTCTACCCAAACACTCCTGACGAAATGGTATTCTTGTAGTCATTTGGGATTTTGAAATTTCAAAAGTATTTTTTTTAAATTTTTCCTAAAATATAAATCAGCTTTGATTATCTAAGCATGACACCTTCATTGTCTTATTTATAAATAAGAACTTATCTACCAAGAAGGACAGATATAAAATTTAATACGCTGGTCAAAAAGATATAAAATTTAATACGGGGTCCAACAAAAACAAACAGAACTCGCCTATGAGACGAAACATATAATGATGTCAGCACAATGTTAGTCCAATTTTAAATTATTTTCCAAATTCCAATGAAAACTCAAGTTGGAGGATTTGATTGAAACAGAAGCACAAGACTAGATATTAATTTCTCCTTGAATCGGAGGATACGGAAAGAGTAGCCTTTTATGATATTTTAAAACTTCATTGAATTTTGGGCTGAGTGTCCGATTTATGAGGCAAAGCTAGATTCATTACAAACCTTAGCTTATCTTTATAATTTAAGAAATTCTAGTTGAAAAAATTGTTTTGCATTTTTTTATTTTGATTTAATTTGTTGGCATGAGATGACTAAATTTATTTGAAATAAATTAATTTCTATTAAAGAGTTTTTGTTAAGTAAAAAGAATTTATAACGATATTTTCAAAATTAAGGGATTAAAATAATCTAATGACATTACATGATTTAATTTGAACCTTAAAGTAAAATTAAAACATTAAATCTTACCCAAGAAATTAAAAGATTAAATTAAGATTTTACTTAAAATTTGTATATAACAATTAATAGGAAAACGGCAACCATATATGGTTTCAATTAAATTAAACATATACCATGTTGTTCATTAGGTTGTTACTGTTATTCTTGCTGTTATGCTAAATGTATTACCTACTTTGTAGTGTAATTTATAATATAATGAGCATAGAATTTGAATCCTATTCGAATCCTCGTTCATAATTTTATGAAAAACTAGCTACTTCTACTAAATACAACCCCTGTTGGTTCGCAATTGATTAATTTATTATATCATGTGAGTGTCTTGTTCTGATTGTAACTGAGAAATCTACGTTTGGCTTGCAGTTTCGGTTTCGTGTCTTGCAATTAATTCATTCAATCTTTGGCCTTCAATTTGTACGTATGTCTGACTTTTCTGTTAGTTTTGCCACAAATTGAAACACATACAATGATCCTTCCACAAAGTCCAAAAGACGAATCAAAGAAAGTGCCTAAAATTGCAGAATCATCATCATCAGTTACCAATTACATTTATAAATTTATACTCTCATCAGATGTATTTGTTGTATCGACATGGAAGTAAATCGAGGTGTAAAGAGGGCATATATCCACGAGAACAACAATACATATAACTCAGCAAATTTCACAATGAACAATACTATATAATCTCTAAACTGTAACACAAAACTAATTACCCACATCAATGCACAAGGAAACAACCTTGCAGAACAACAAAAATACCAACAGAAACATGGGACGCGAAAGAAATACACCAAATATATCTGTCATAAAGAACCAGTAGTCAAAAGCATAATCACCAGAAAAGATCAAAACTTTGATATGTTTCTCTGCGCCTGGAAGAGTGAAGCCTCCATTATGTAATGACGGAGATGATTATATTATACAGAACCAGTCAAGGACCTCCTAATTGAGCGTGACCAAGTTGGCGAGCGAGTTGGTCGTTTCTTCTTCTTTGGTGCACCTGGACAGCCTCCGACACGTATTTTGTTTTCTGGTCTTGTTGGAGTTCTGCACACGTCATCGTCTTCTTCAGTTTTGATGTCTTTCTGTGGCTCTGGTTCTTCCATTCTCGGCTTCGCTTGAGTTTCTGCAACATCATCATCTTGCTGCTGCTTTGATGAACTCGACATGGCTGGTTAATTGGAGCAGATCAATTCCAGTAATTATGTGGCAATACATATATAAAGGAGGATTTCACTGTGTGTTTTGCATTTATATACTGAAACTGTAATATTATATCCTAATGGAAATCGGACTCATTAGCTTTAACGGGAAGCAAAATCAAATTAATTTGGAAGCTTATAATCCTTATGATAATAGGAAGACTTGGTTCAATTTATAAACGTTTCTTAATTTGAAATGAATCCTAAAGGAAATAGGAAACTTGCGGCTTTTAATGTCACTGGGCGTTTGCTTAATTAATTGCTTTGTTTCCATCTGTTTCTTTATCCATCTTGTTTCCTTATATATTTCGGCCGAACTATCTGTTTCATTTTGGAAATAGCGGAGGCCCACGAAACACCATTATTTCAGGGTCAGGGGACTTCTTTAAAATTTGTAATAATCATACCCACCATATCTCATCTCGTAGGGAGCATAACACAATTTTAAATTTTCAGAAAAACACTTATTAAGAAGATTTTAACATTAAATATTCTCGGCTCAACAAGAATTGGTCTCAAATCCAAAGTAATTTGGAGATTCTTGAATCACACCAAAAAAAAAAAATGAAGAAAAAATACACAATGCTTTTCCTTAAACCGAAAATTGTTAGAATTTAATTTAATTTTAAATATTTTTAATTAAAATATTTTTCATGTGATATAAATTATTTTTAACGTAAGATATTTTAATTTAATATTATAGTTATATTTTTTTTAAAAAAAGTATGTATAATTTATTTAAAAATTTCACTTTTGTTATATTTGAAGTTTTATGAAGAAAAATTATTTGCATATATAGTGTGAAAACTTACAACAGTTATTGGATTCCATATACTATTTCTAGTCTTAATTATAAAATCTCGTTTATAATCTATAAACAAGGTTTTATAATTAGAACCGGAGGTAGTATTTAATATACTAGTTACATTAATCTCAAACTACTTGTCTTCCCTCCTAAGCTCAATATGCATGCTAAAATGATCTTCTTTTTTTTTTTTTTTTTGGCAGGAAAACGAAATTAGGCATTAACAATACTTAATCTGATCATCAAAGTAAATTTTCTGACTTTTTTTGGTAACTGGGCCTAAGCCTAACTAAGAAAACTGAAAGGCACTGGGCTTGAGAAGCCCATACTGTCCTTGCGCAACAAGCTCCCCGTGCATACCCTCTAGATTGTCTCCTGTTTTGATTGGTGGGAAATGAAACATACGTTTTCATAAAAAAAAAATAAAAAAAAATTGAACATTATAATTTGCCACTGCAATAAATGAACATAAAGAGAAACATACATTTGAAATTATCATTATTGTTGTAGTGCAACTGATCAAAACTCGTTCAAATGCTTCAACGATACAAATTAATAACATCAGAGACCTATGATAACCAAGAGTCTGAATTATTCAAGTACTATTTCTCCATATGTATGTATATTTCTTGTAAATTAAAATAAATTCCCAGCCTATTTTCTTTTCTTCGAATCCTTGAATATATAGGTATCTAGCTAGCATGCATCTTCTTCTTCTACTTTGTGGTTGAAAATTTGGAGCTTACTAATGGGGAGTAAGAACATACATCTTGCAAGCATGTGAATCCAAATCAGCAGAAATTTGTCCCGAAACCG